ATACCTTTAATGAGATATGAACTGTGAATGTCTTTATAAACTAAAAAAGGTGTCATACAGAAACCTCACTCACTCAAAACTGAACTGAGTGAATCTAAAGGCAGCACAAGAAGCAGAAACACTTTACTGAAAAACTTTACATGCCTGCACACACATCCACTTCAGGACAAGTATGAATAATAAACAGCTAACATAGAAGTAGATGAAGTAGTTTCACACCCTAACATTGCACTTTCTTATTTTCTAGCATTTTTCTCAGGGCCAATATCATTAAAACTTGTAGTAAAGCTTTTCTGCAGTTTTTGAATATTCAGTTTCAAAATTCAGTAACGGAATGGCACAGAGAAAGACAAAATGTATTGGAAATATTAAATACAAAATACATACAATATATTTAAGTTCAGGGATCGGTTTTAACATAAAATGAAATATTAAAGTAGAAAGAAAAATAGCAACACGAATACATAACATATCAGCATATCAGTTTGTAGTGATCTCACATTATTGAGAAGGAAACATGATGACATGTAGAGTTCAGTTGTATGATTGTTTTCACTTAAATATATATTTTTAAATAATTACTGCTTCTTTTGGATTCATTTTTTTATACCTCACTGTGCTCTTCGAGCTCTCTACCTCTATTTTAGTTTTAGTGAAAAAATAAAAAGCAGGTTAACATGAGTTTATCTCTTTGCACTTAATGTCCTGAACAGACATCAAGAAAGAAACTAACTTTAAAAATCCAAATATACAGACTGACGGTTACTATACGTGTTAAAACAAATGTGTCTCTGAAACTAATGACTGAGTGATTATTGTAGTGGTTTTAATATTGGTCATTTTTAAACTGGAGCTATTAATAAAAGAAAGACTACATTTATTTAAAGTGCCCTCTGTGCCGCTAAAGCGACTCTTATAGAATAAATTGATTTGTGATACAAAAAGTCAGGTAATTAAGGAACTTGATATAAATACGAAATATGAAACATTTCAGTCAAGATGCAGAATATCAGACTTATAAAACATGAGCTGCTATTAGGGAGAGTAATGCTTCAAAAGTGGAAATAGCCAAGAGAAATGCAGTCACTTCAAAAAGTATTAGCATCTTTCTTGATTTTATTTTTTCCATGTTTGTTGAACTTGAGTGTTTTTGAGAACAACAGACTATTTAAAATAGTAGTCGATTACCCCTTTTTCACTCTCCGAAAAACCCACTGAAACCCGGGAACTATCTGCTTTTACTTGGAAAGGGACCCTGGTTAAAGTCCTCTTCAAACGGCTCCACTCCAATCAGCTTGCATCAGGAACATCAGACCTAAATCGACCCGATAATTTACGTGATACCTTTGAGAACAAGATACTGCTCTCAATAAGCTGCACCAGTCATGTCTGATCTAACAAGCCAAAAAACTCTCCTATAGTGAAGCATCTTGCTGAGGGAGATGCTGAGGAGCAACAAATCAACAAACATATTTACCGTGTTTGGTGTTGTATTATACTCTGATTTAGTTGTATGATTGTTTTCACTTAAATTTATATATATTTTAAAAATTATTGCTTCTTTTGGATTATTTTTTTATACCTTACTGTGCTCTACCAGCTCTCTACCTCTATTTTAGTTTAAAGGGGGAAAAAGGCAGGTTAAACATGAGTTTATCTCTTTGCACTTAATGTCCTGGACAAACATCAAGAAACAAACTAACTTTAAGCTATCGTTTTCATAAAGCTTGGCCCTAACCCACGGGTCGGCAACCCGCGGCACCAGAGATCAGTGGTCAAAGCCTGCAACACATGTCACAGTCTTGGGCCATGGACCCCAAAGGGGGAAAAAAAAGAAGATTCCTGATGAGAACAGTTGATTCAAAGAAGAATGGATCAAATCATTCAATGCGGAAGGATTGCCTGCATCTTTGCTTTGGTACGAGAGTTTGTCAAATAATAAAAAGAGTAATTTGTAAAGGCATTTCCAGGGAAGGCTAAATATGCAGCCAATCACAAGCTTGTGAGTGAGAGAAAAAGTGTGATTTCAGAACTTCTGGATAAATATGAGGAGAACAAAGATATATTTAAGTGGACTGCATCTCAAAACTCCACTACTGCTGCTAAAACTTCCACAGATCAAACAACAACTGGGTTTATTAAATCACATCAGAGAAAATATGACCAGTGTTAAACTTGAAATGATAATGCAGAACATCTGAAGGAAAACAGAGTAAAGTTAACATGAACATTTTCCATCACATCAACTAAAAGCTCCATCCCTGCATACAAATCCTGCACAGAAAGTTGTAACAATGGATAGCTAACAGAAATAGACAAAACAGTTCCTCACCATAACATTGTGCACAATTGTTTGTCTACATTTCTCTTGGGCTGATGTCACTGTTATACCCTGGACTAGAACCGTAAAGCTGTTTTTGAGTATAAAGNAGTATTATCAAAAGAAAAATTAAACCGAAATGTGGGGGAATGATATTAAAGGAAGGTGGTTCTATAAAATACGAGGGAAGGTTTGAAAATTAGGAGAAATATTGGAACAGAATTCAGGAAAGGATCATAACTACATTAAGTTTGGGGCACACGGGACTTAAATGAACATTACATATAATTGAAAAACAGGAAGATGTGAATTCTGTGCGAGAAATTAGACAATAGAAGATGTAATGTATTAGTAGGAAATAGCAGAGGTAAGGTTTTTCTCATTTTTGTATGAGAAGTTTATTTACAAGTTCATATTTAACATAGGTGTTAAGATAACATAAGCCTAGTTTTGCTGGTAGATTTTTAAATATCTGTATTAACATTTTTTAAGTTTATTTAGTTGTTGTTGTTTGTTTTTTTTGCCTAACAAATAGAGGGGTAGTTTTCCAAAATATAGCTTTAAACTTGAACTGCTGGGATTTAAAAATAATGATTTTGGAACATGCAAGGTATTAATCCATTTCTGTGACAAAAATCAACATATTTGAAGAGAAGCACTATCATAAATCTCCTCAGAGCTTCAAAACTGACAGTTTTTGATGTAGATAAACCCATTCAAGCATAAACTCAGCGTTTCTCACAATGTTTGTTTTTGTTTTAGCCATCCTGCAGTTGTTTGAAGTAAAACCTCCTCCTGATCGGCAGATGACGAGTTCTGGGCTGGACCAGGAGGAGAAGCTGCTTTCTCCTTGGAGACAAACTGAAGCAGACGCAGATGAGCTAACCTTCGGCCATAATGAGGAATTTGATCCTGCAAGTGAAGACTTTAAAAGGGATTTTAAAAACTGTGACTCTTTGCCGCAGGATTTTAATAGTCTAATAAAAGGAGAGGTTAGTGATTCGGAGAGGCATCCAGACATGCGTCAGCTCAGCTGTTTTTTCTGTGCAGCGGAATTTACAACAGGAGGTCTGCTGACCATACACACATCAGGTCACACGGGAGAGAAGCTGCTAACCTGCCTTATCTGCAAGAAAACCTTCACCTCTGACTCAGAACTTGTTGATCACGAGTGCAGGTCCCTTAAACATCCTCAAAGTCGACCAGAAGAGCCGATTCCAGCTGATAAACTCTGCTGCTCTCAGTGTGGTGAAGAGTTCTCCACAAGCAAAGACTTAAACCTTCACCTCGGACTACATTTAGGAAGAAAACAGTTCAGCTGTTCCATCTGTAACACCAGCTGTATCGACCAAGATGCGCTAATTCTGCACATGAGGCTCCACACCAGACAAACCCAGTTCACCTGCCATGTCTGTGGGAAAGACTTTGCTTGGAGGAGGCACCTGACCAAACATATGGAGGTGCATAGGAAAAGGAAGAAGGTCTTCAGATGTAGATTGTGTGGTGCTGAATTTAATACCTATTATAGGCTGTCTAAACATAAGGCTGTTCATCAGACATCAGAGCTTCCTCAGGGTCAGATGGAGACTAATGGAGAGAAGGAGGCAGCTGATGGAGACGAACCGGCAAAATCAGAATCTGATTTGATAAAAGAGACAAACATGAAGGTTTCAGTATCTTTTAAAACTGAAAATGACTCTTTGACAGACTGTAGACAACTTCTGCTAGATTCCACCTCTAGCAGACCTAATAATGATCCTAAGACTGATGAGAACACATTTCTAATTGGACAGATACAGGAGGAGGTGAAGCAGGAGGATTCCAAGCCTCCACAGATAAAAGTAGAGGAGGAGGAGACAGAAATCGTCAGGTTCTCCTTAAGTCCTGGATCGATGAAGACTGAAGAAGACGAGAAGAAGTCCCTACCCCGTCCCAAAAACGAGGAGCAGAATATCCCTTTGGAAGGAGAACTTTCTGACTCCGACACGGACGACAGCGATTGTTGGAAGCCGAAAACAGGCTCAAACTCTGAAAGCGATTCTGGCAAAAATCCGTCCGGCTTCTCTGAAAACAAACCATCAGAGTCTCTGGAACCCGAGAGCGACGACAGCGTCGACTTCTGGAAGGACTCCCAGAAGCCACGGTCGAACTCAAACCCGGTGAGACAAGAACCTTCGGAGAAGGGAGTGAAATATGTGACGGACTTAAAGCCGTACAGCTGCCCTCAGTGTAGCAAAGTGTTCCGCTACAACTCCTATCTGAAGATTCACATGCAGCAGCACACAGACAGGTACGTCTGTTCTATCTGTGGACACAGATCCACCTCAAGTTCAAACCTGAAGGTTCACGTTAGAATGCACAGTGGAGAGAAACCGTTCAGCTGCTCGGTTTGCGATAAGAAATACAGCAACAAGGCCAGCATGCTGTCCCACATGTCTGTCCACGATGCAGAGAGGAAGTACAACTGCGATAAGTGCAAGAAAAGCTTTGCGTGGTTCACGGAACTCAAATACCATCAGTGTGTCGACGAGTCGCCAGGTGAACAAACGCATGAGGAGGATGCAAGCATCAATCTGAAACGACACACTTTATACATCTGAAATGGTTCATCTGTGGACGAATTGTTGCTTTATTTAAAGTATTTATAGATTTCAATTCTTTCATTTAAGATACATTTGTTTAAGAAAAGAACAGAAGGGATAATGAAAAATGAAGATATTTAACATTTTTATGGCCTTTTTTTTATTCTTGTGATAAACAAGCTTTTGTTTGCAAAATTGTTAATCTTGGAAAAAAATTACTTTGTTGTTCTCACAAAGAAGCCAAAAGTTTGCATTAAAACTTGATGACTTGAGTTATTCTTCATTTATTGTGTTGCATTCACAAATGATCACAACTTTGTTTCTTAGTTTGAAAATTTGGCAAATTCAGCAACATATATTTGAAAAACCCATTCAATAGTTACCCTTTGGTAAACAGAATGTAGTTCACACTGTAGCCTCTAGGTGGCAGTAACAACACTCTAATCTGAGGTGTGTTTGAAAAGTGCTGCAGAGGTTCTGGTCTCATCTGGTCCCAACAAAAGTTATTTTCTTGTTTGCAGAGCTGCTGATGAGCTAGAGCCTCCTCCATTTTCAACATAACAGTTCTAGAAAGGTAAACAAATAACATAATAATTTAGGTTTAACAAACGTATTTTTCTCATTCTATGCATACAGATGCATCAATTAGCTCCCCTTATATTCAAAAATATAATGGATCAAACAATAGTTTTATGCATTCATGTGCGGACCAGCTGGCACGTTTTATATTTTCCAAACCTATCCAAATCATTTCCTTTATCTGCCCCAAGTCCCTGCCTGTCTTACATCCTCTACTATTGGTGCTCCAAAAATCAGCCATAAGCTGCAGCAGCAATTATCCACCCTGTTGCCCTGAAGGTTTGCAGACCTTTTCACCAACTAGCCAAAATAGTTTAGATTAAGGTGCACTACATTATTCTCACATGTCATTTGTGTATGTATGTATATATATATATATATATATATATATAACTGATTTTTAAATTTTATTTTAGTTTAATATGGGAAAAAAGTCAGAATTCTGTCTTTAATCTCAGAATTCTGACTTTAATCTTAGAATTTCTGACTTTTCTCAGAATTTTGACTTTTTTTCTCAGAATTCTAAATTTAATCTCAGAATTCTTTTTTTCTCAGAATTCTAACTTTAATGTCAGAATTCTGACTTTAAACTCAGAATTCTGACATTTTTCCCCATATTAAATTTTAATAAAATAAAAATCAGTTTTAAGTGGCCCTAATCCTCTTCTGAATAACCTGCCCCACAGACTGTTTTGAAGCTACTTTATGCATGACATGAGCTGGTTTGCTTTTAAATAAAGATGGACCATTTTGCATTTGTGGATATTAACTGATCATATCTGTTTTGTAAAGTGGTGTGAGATTCATTTTATTTTATTTTTTGTCTCTGTTGATAAATATTATTATGGGACTGCAGAAAAGTGGTTTAAATTAATTGCTTCTAATGAATCCTCCTGAATGTATTGCTTCAACTGGAAAATTATGTCAGAAAACGCAAGTCCCTTGCCATGCCAACAATGAAAAATCACTGAACTGTTTGGCATGCTGGAGTTTAAGTGGAGTGACTCAGCTCATGTAAGAAAAAAAGCATAAGTGTCTGTATTTGTTTAGATTATTTGTTGGTAAAAAAAAGACAATAGACAAGTGATAATTTTCAGCCCATAAAATCACACTTTTTTCCCTCGGATATATGGGATTTTTAAGGCTTAAATGATGGTTAAAGTCACTTGCAGGGTGTTGGTGGTTAAAATGTACATAAATATCTCAATAAATACTAGGGAGGGTTAAGCTCCCCTGTAAAATTTGTACAATCATTGACAATATAATAATTTTTTTTGTCAAACTGGTACATAAAAACATCACATATTAAAATATTTAAAAAGACCACTAAAACATCTTAAGTGTACTGTGGGTTCAATAAACAATATGTTTAACACCTTACTAGGAACTCTTAATGCAAAAAAAAAAGCCTCACTAGAGTACATAATTTGAATACGGCTATGAGAAATTATTAGTCATATCTTCTCTGGTTCTTCTGTTGAAACCTGCTACACCATGTTGGTGTTTAAAAAAAAAATAAAAGCCTTTGTGAATAAATGAAAATAGCCACTCAAAATATGGCCAAGGTACACTAACAGATGCCGATGGAGATGACTTCCTGTTATCATCAGCTGTGAGTTTTATTTTGAAGGACTTGAGCTCTACCGGAAGTAGCTAATACTGCCTAAATAAAGCTAGGCTCATGTAGCGTCTGTCGGGTGATTGAACCAATCTTCGGCATTTTTAAAAGATGCTCTAGTGTGCACTGTTCATTTTTCATCATATCTGTAAAGCTTAATTTGAAATGACTTTTCCTCCTGGAAGTCTCAGAGAGTCGTGTGTTAGCTTAGCCTGTTAGCTGTGCTCAGACTGTATCACTTTTGATGGATCAGAGACACTTGAATGGAGATCAGACTGTTTCTCTTTTAGGCCAGAGAGATTCTTGTTGAGATTGCGTGAAAACCTGAGAAAGTTGAAGAAAGGATAACTAACAGATGGAGGAACCGACGCGCAGTGAGCAGATGGGCTCTGGTATTCACCCACAGCTCCTCAGATGTTTGCATGCAATCAAAGGCTGCAACGATAATAAAAACATACAAATCAGTCAAAAATAACTGTTCAGTTGATGTAAAGACATAGGCAAAAAAGAAAACTTTCCTTTGTGAAAAGAGGGATGCTAACAGGAAAGTCACATTCTAAGGTTGGCTGCATGAAAGTTGAAGGATTTATAAATTGTATTTATAAAGGTTTAAATACAGGGTAGAGATTTTTCTGATATAAATCCAAGTAACTGCAAAGAAATGTTATAGGCTTGTCTAAAATTAGATCCCACACTTAAACACTGTAAGGAAAATAAAATAAAATTATGTGCAATTTACTATTTGATACTTTCCTTGTATTTGACATAAATATATATTTCACACATATACAAATATCCATATATATAAATAAATACCCATGTAAACACCCTGTGCAATAACCGTGTATAATAATCCTACTATATAAAAAAAAAAAAAAGCTGTCATATGTGGACTCACTGTATATACTGTATATATATTCAACGCACCTTTTTCATCCTTTGGCGCCTTCTTCTATTTGAACTGATGTAACGAGTACATTTCCCCACTGTGAGGTCAATAAAGTCAATCATCAATCAGTTGGCTTAAGAAAATCCGTCATAAGTAAACTTTTTCTTGAAGGCCTATTATTCTTAAAAACCTACATCTTAAATAATTCAAATCACGAGCAGATTGGTATGAAAGTCGTTTTCTTTCAAAAGATTTTCTATCAATCAGAATTTATTTGGTATTCTCAAGTGAACAAAAAATAATAAAAATTGACCAAACTTAAGATTTTTTATTTCAATTTTATAGTGAATATTGTTTTAATTAATGTCAGAAATCATCAGCTCCAAGTCCTTGAGGTAGGGAGACACTCTTAACTTCATTCCAGTCTTTTGGTCCACCCACAGATTCTCTATCAAAATTGAAGTTGAGTCTGTGGTTGGGCTGCTCTGACACATCATTTCCAGTCAGCGAAAAAAAAAAAACCATTTAGATTTAAATTTACCAAATGTATGACTTTAGGCTTGATTATAATTTAAATTAAAGAAACAATGCAGAAGCAGTCTATTTTATTAATGGAAGAAAAGCTCATTAACAAAGTAAAATGAGCCATGATGAAAAATATTCCCTTTTTATGCTTAAGAAACTTAAATTTAGATACATTCTGGAATCATTATGTTATTGATATGTTGTTTTTCTTGAGAGCTGTTTTTGCTGTAACATGTTTGTGTTTCCTGCAGACGTCCAGATGCTGTTGGTGATCAAAGAGGAGCAGAGCTGGAGTCCCACACCAGATAAGGAGGACCAGAAACCCCCACAGGTTAAACAGGAGGAGGAGGACACTGAGATCACCAAATTCATATTCGATCCCGTCTGTGTGAAAAGTAAAGACGATGAAGAGAAACCGCTGCTCACAGAGCTTCATCTCAATCAAAAGGAGGAGAAAAGAGACTCTGATCTGGGTGAATGCTTAGAACAATATCCACAGGACAAAACTTCTGACTCGGAGACGGATGTCAGTGATGGAAACTGGGAGGAGAGCATTCAGACGGCGTCACGTTTAGACTCTATGACCAATAAGGAGACCCCTGTTGGCTTTAACTGCTCTGAATGCGGCAAAACCTTCACCAGAAGACAATATTTGTCAGAACACCACAGAATCCACACAGGAATAAAACCTTTCGTCTGCTCCATCTGCAGCAAAGCTTTTACATGGAAAAACGGGTTAGTGCGACACATGAGAGCTCACAGTGGAGAAAAACCTTTCAGCTGCTCATTCTGTGACAAAACTTTCTCCTCCAAAAAGAATTTAATGGAACACACAAAAGTCCATACAGGGGAAAGACCTTACAGCTGCTCCTTCTGCAAGGCGTCATTTAAACGAAGTCACACTTTAAAGGAACACACAAGAACCCACACTGGAGAGAGACCTCACAAGTGCTCGATCTGTGGCCTAAGCTTCAGATACAGGTCCTATCTAGTTGTTCACGTAAGAGCTCACGCTGAAGTTAAACCTTTCAGCTGTTCTATCTGCAATGGAACGTTTAAAAGGAAGCTCTCCTTAGAGGAACACATAAGATCCCACACTGGAGAAAAACCTTTCAGCTGCTCAATATGTAATAAGAGTTACTCCCGCCAGTTAGGTCTGTCACGCCACATGAGATGTCACACAGGAGAGAGACCTTACAGCTGCACCATCTGTCAGGCCACGTTCAGATGGAGATACGCATTTGTGAACCACACAAAGATCCATACAGGGGAATCATCTTAGCTGCACAGACTGTTGTCAAAGCATCATTTGGTCTCTGATAGCTGAGTTTAAGCTGTTGTGGTTTCAACTATGATTTGCTAATTGTTAAACTGGATGTGAGAGCAAAGCATACAAGCGACTGCTCCCTCCTCTCATATATGGCGTATCATTTAGGGACAGAAGATAAATATCCAAACACTATTGAAAAGAAAACTGAAAACATTCAGAATCTTATAATAAAATAAGACCCAGAAAAAAGGAGGCACAGGCCTTTTCTTTTTGAAAGGAAAACATATGATTTATTTTTTAAGGTTAAAAAGAAAAAAGACACAAAACTAAAGTCAAATCTGGATATATGTGCTCTATTTTTTTTACCCAATTTTAGAGCATTTTCTATGAACTTCTATCAATTTAATTTAAAAAAAAACATTATTTTTATTATAAAAGAAAAATAGGGATAGAATGCATTAAAATTGTTCAAAGGAGTGGTACCCATCTTTTTTTTAGACTTAAACTTTATAGTCATTTTGTTCGCACAGAGTATACAAAATGAAATGTTATTTATACAGATTCAAGCAGTGAATGAGGACCAGCTTAGCAATGTAAAGGAACATTTCCATTCATAAAGTGCAGCAGTGATCAAATGTAAACAGTGTGGAAGAGACATGGTGCAAAAAGGCATTGATGTCTAAGAGAATTATCTAATATAATGATTTGACATTAACCTTGATTCCTGAGGTGACAAGACATAAAAGGTAAAATTTTTTGTTTACCAAAAGTGTTTTATTTGGAAGTGTCTTGACAAATCCCAAGCAAATCTCAAGCAAGCTGCTGACGTCTGTTTACCTGCATGAATTTTCAGTCAAAGTTGGTGAACCCATGAAACCTTTGAGGGGGGTGCCAGTGAGGCAGTTTTAGACACATAAGCAGGATTTCAACATAATATCCTGGGGGATTCATATAAAACTGACTTAGTTCAAAAACCAGGCTTAGCTGGTCATGTCTGGCTTATTCTGCTGTTTTTCTGGGTTTCATAATCCTGCCTCGTTCTGAGTCTGACTCTGTTTTTTTGCAGACAAGCAGAGTGGCACAGTGGAAGTGTGCTGGGCTCATAACTCAGACGTCAGTGGACCTAAACCACCATAAAAGTGACTTTAGGGGAGGCGGCCTAGTGGTTAGGGCATTGAGCTTGGAATCCTGAGGTTCTGAGTTCAAGCCCCACTCCCACAATCTGCCACTCTGGGTCTCTGAGCAAGATCCTCAACCCCACACTGATCCCCGGGCCCCGCACAATAGCAGTCCACTGCTCCCCAAGGGGATGGGTTAAATGCAGAGTTAAATTTCTCCAATGTGAGATATAATAAAGTTGTATTATTTATTATACCCTGTAACTTAGCCAGGTCGGGACCAGGGTTAGACTGATTCTGATTGGTTTAACTTCAGTCAGAATAAGCCGTCCATGTCTGTCTCTGAGTGAGTTTTATGAAGTACCTCTCAGATCTATTTGCCATGTCTGATTCAAAGGTGTCCCATGTATGGATGTATGATATTTATAGAGAAATATAATAAACATTAATATGCAGAACTTATAGTGTTATTCTTTTTTTCTTTCCAAGAACAACTCACCCTGTTCACATTCAGCTCTCACACATCTTAAACATTTCTACTTGGCTCTTTTACAAAAGTTTTTCCATCCATCCATTTTCTGACACGCTTAAAGGGAAAGACTGTTTTTTTTTTACATTGGGCCCTTGATTTTACGTTATTACATCATGTTCTACTCACCCATATTAGTTTTGTGTCATTTGGAGCTGTTCCGAAGATATTCGGTTTTGTAATCCAAGTAACGTCTTCCTATGGGCAACGAGTTGAAGGCACAAACTAAACCGTTCATAATTTATTCTTTATGGTACACAAGCAGTTATATTTTTTATATCTATATTTTTTTTAAACAAAGCGGAGTGTGTGGCAAAGAGAGGACTTTTTTAATTGTCCCATTGCATGTGTATCATCTTTAAAGTGGCCCAAATTATGATACTCTGACCTCTGTCATTTAAAGGGCATAAATGCCCTAAAAAATAGTTAATGTATCAGCAAAACTGCTGCATTGTGTGGGAGGCGTGGCTTTGAGGAGAAGGTGAAAAAGATAAAATATCTCTACCCTTTCTAAAGAAAATGTATACAATATATTTGTAATAAAAAAACAAAAAGAGAAAATTATTCACACTACTAGGTTTTGTTTCAGCAATAAATACTGATGTAAACTGATGTTAT